AGCTGGTGATTTTAACTAATCTACTAAATTATGCTTCAAATACAAATGTTCAACATTTTCTAGATACTCTTATAGAATATAACCTAATACCAACAATAAGTAAGTCAACGAGAATAACTAAGACCTCATCGTCACTACTTGATAATATAATTACTAACAATTTTCAAAACTGCCGTTTAGGAACAGGCATAATTAAAACTGATTTAACTGATCACTTTCCAATATTCCCAATTACTGATAACATAACCCTAAATAATGTCTACAATCTTAACACGACAGATCAATGAAAACTCCTTATTGTATTTTCGAACTCTTTTAACGAAAAATATCGATTTGAATGTATTTTTACAATCCCATGAAGTCAATACTGCATATGAGTTATTTTTAGCGCAGTTCTGTAAACAGTATGACGTAGCGTTTCGTGTTAAAAAATTGTTATAAAATTCTAGTCTCTTTTAAACCCCTGGATGACCAAGGAATTAATAAAATCGTCAAAAAAACAAGAACTTTATGATAAATATTTAAGACATAAAACATATAAAAATGAAATAAACTACAAAAACTATAAAAACTTATTTGAAAAAAACAAAAAAAAAATTTACTATACAAAGTTGTTGGAAAAAACTAATGGCGACACCAAAAAAACGTGGAATATAATTAAACAAATAATTGGTAAAAATAAATGTGAAAAAACTAATCTCCCACAAAAGCTTTTAATTGATGGGGAAATGATTTACGATAAAAAAAAAAACAGCTTAAGAACTCAACTCATTTTTTCTTGAAGTAGGGCCGAACTTGGCGAGTAAAATTCCGTCAAGTACTACAAAGTTTGAATCTTACATTAAATCATGTAATTCTATTATGGAAGAATCTAATTTAAATCTAAACGAAATAAGGAATGCTTTCAACAGTCTTAAAAGTAATAAAAGTGAGGGCATTGACAAAATTAGTTTGAATTTTGTTAAGTCAGTCTTCGATATCATTGAACCGTCATTATTTCATATTTTTGATCTTTCATTAAAGCTAGGTGTTGTGCCGAAAAAACTTAAAATTGCCATAATCACTCCCATTTTTAAATCTGGTGACGAAACTATTATTAACAACTACAGACCTATTTCCGTTTTAAAAATTAAAACGGAAATAGGTCAAAATTATTGGAACAAATTAAGTACAACAGACTTTACAACTATAGCTTCTCAAAATTATTGGAACAAATTACGTACAACAGACTTTACCACTATTTGATTTACATAATAGCTTCTCAAAATTATTGGAACAAATTACGTACAACAGACTTTACAACTATTTGATGTTAAACAGTTTGCTGTACAGTAAACAATTTGGATTTCAAAAAGATAATTCAACAAACCACGCTATAATTGAACTAGTTAATCATGTGTCGGATGCATTCAATAATGACTCTTGGAGTTTTTATTGATCTGCCGAAAGCTTTTGAAACTGTTAACCATAAGAAACTTATAAAAAAACAAGAACTTTATGGAATAAAGAATAAAAATTTACTTTAGTTTGAAGACTACCTAGCGAACAGGTCACAATGTATTATTTATTATAAAAAAGAAAAAGAAAAACATACTACATGTGGTGTGCCCCAAGGTTCAATCTTAGGGCAATTATTATTTTTATTGTATATAAATTTATACTTAACATCAAACATTTTAAATGTTATATTGTTTGCAGATGACTCCAATCTTTTTTATTCCAACAAAGATATAAAAGCTCTCTTTAATATATTTAATGAAGAACTATTCAAAATAAAGGATTGGTTTACAAGCAATCGATTAAATTTATTTTATTTTCCAAACCTAGTAAAGGTGATAATGTTCCTCTAAAATTACCTTATCTCCTAATCAATAAAAAATTTATTTAAAAGGGAACCAATCATTAATTTTCTAGGAGTAATAATAGATGAAAATTTGTCATGGAAACCACATATAAAATATATAGAAAATAAAATATCAAGAAATATTTATATATTATATAAAACTAAATCATTTCTTAGCACCTCTTCTCTAAAAAAAATATACTTTTCATTTATTCATAGTTTTATCTCTTACTGCAATATTGTATGGGGTAATACTAACTATGGTAAGTTGAAAAAACTTCATAGTAAGCAAAAACATGCATGCAGGATTATATTTGGTGCCCACAGAACTTTTCAATGTGAACCTCTTTTAAGGAAGCTCGGTGCCCTAAGTGTCTATAAACTTATTATTTTTTTTTTTTTTTAATTTTTTTTTTGTTCTTTTATCTTTATAATGTTGTGATTCTACATGATTGGTACAAAGTTGTAATGTTTTTAAAATATATAATACTACAAATAGATTGCAATTTTATAGAATAAAAAAAATATGATTGTAGGGTATCATTAATTTTAAAAGAACGCGGGAAACTTGCAGAAGACCAGATGGTCTTGTCATCAAGAAACCACTTGTACTTGTAATATTTTTTGTATTTTCGTTTTACAATGTATCTAGTTTCGCAAAATACTTCATTTTATATTAGGTTCACATATAATAAAATGTAGAAATAAAAAAGTTGGTAAATACTGTTTGTAGTACACATAATACACATAAATATATTATTAAGCATAAATATAACTATTATTGACTTACATTGATTTTTTATATTAATATATATTATTGAATTTTTTTTGGATTTTGTTTTCAATTATAATTTTGGTTTTATTTTCAGTTTTAGTTTAATGTAAGTTCAAATAATTGCTGATATTTAAAACTTTTTTAGTGAGATTTTCAAACAATTTATGTTATCAAATTTTGTAATAATGGCATTTTTTGGATATCAGTTTATTATAGAGATAGGGACCGCGATATGAAATTGTGAAATGCGACAGTTTTGTTTTTCTGAACGGTACATTAAAGTTTCCTACTTCTCTAGTGTCATATCTATTTTTATTGCTTTTTAAAAATTCATTTAAGAAATGTGGTGGGACAAGCCCGAGTTTAAATTTTAGCATGAAGAGTAAGTTTTGGTAAATGTTAATTCTATAGATGTTTAGTGCATTTAGGAGTTTAAACAGAGGTTCAGCATGAAAGAGTTTACTTTTTTTTACAGACAATTCTAATGGCATGTTTTTGATGTTGATAAAGTGATTTTAAATTAGATTTATGGGTACTGGCTCATGCTATATTACCATATGTATAATAGGTATGTATAAATGAAAAATAAAGATGTTTTAGATTGGGATAACATTGGTCTAGCTTTGTATAGCACGCTAATGTTTTTGGTTATTTTAGTATTTAAATAGTCAATATGGGCTATTTCCATGAAATATTTTGATCAATAAGTAAACCTAGGAATTTAGTTGTTGTGGTTCTTTCGATATTTTTGTTTTTTATTCTTAGCAATGGCAATATATTCGGTAGTTTTTTTCTTTTTTGATTTGAATGGAATAAGATGTAATTAGTTTTTCTGTGTTTAAAGATAGTTTATTAGATTTAAGCCTTAAGATTAAATATTAAGTTTAAACTTAAAATACACCAAGTTCTACAATTCATGCTTAAAACTAAACATGAACTCTCCTATTGTATTTCAGTCTTACTTTAGTGAAATCTCGCACAAGTATTCTACTAAATTTTCAATTAATAACTTTGTTGTTCCAAAAACTAATTCAAAACTAAATTCTTACAAAATCCAATACCGCGGACCGTTTCTATGGAAACATTTTTCAAAATTTATCACAAAAAATAATAATGTACAACACATCTCTTTGGAAAAATTTAGAAAAGAATCTAAGAATCTTTTATTACAAAAAGACTTTGATTTAAAAAATCTCTTTTAAAAATAATACACAAATAATATAAATGATCTAAAAAAAATAGTTATTGACACTACTGCTCTTTTGTTGCAATTTTAATCTAATTTAATTTTTTGTTGAAAAATTTTGATACTTTTAAATTGTTGTTAATCTTTGATATAATGCGTTATATTTCAACACTAATATTTATATTATGTTATTAGTTATATTGTAACTAACGTATTAAAAATTCTTGTTATGTACTTAGCAGTCTTCATTTTTTATATTAACTGACAATTTTTTAGCGTAAATTTTATGATGGGGCCTGATGATAAGACAATTTATGTCTTCTGCTTGCTCCAGTTCTCTTATTAACACGATTTATTTCATAGTAAATTTTAATATATGACAAAACTCTTTGCTTAAAAAAAAAATAAAATAGGACGAGGTTAAAAACATTACTTTCTAATAAAATGTTAAACCATATGACAATAATAGTAATGATAATAGCATAAACAATAATGTGTTCACATAATAATACATGAAAGTTTATAGTGTCTTTTGACAGACCGATAAAAAAATCCCACATCACAATAAAATAAAAAAAAAAATTGGGGCGTTAGATCTCGCTAGTTTATTTATTGTTATTGATTAAAAAAGTAAAAGTATGTGAGCTAAAGCAGTATTTACCATTTAGAAAAAGTTCTTGTAATAAAAATGGAATTGGTTACTCGTTTTTTTTACAATAGGCCTTATTAGGCCTTTAGCCCTCAAGAAAAACTCCAATGAATAATTTTAAAATAAATTTTAAACTGACAACATGAATAAACTGATTCGTTTATCTTAGAAGATGCTTGGTTACCTAAACAGAATGGTATAAAGTATTGGCAAAAGGTTTTCAGTCCATGTATTTTTAATGATCTGATGTTGTACCCGTCTGAATTTAGATAGAAATGGCGCAAAGAACTTTAAAAGATCAAAAACCATAGTTTAAAAAAAAAAAAAAAATTAGCATGCCACTGTCTAAGTGAAGAGTCTACACCAAGGAGGTTTAATAAACAGGAGACGCCGTAGTATATACCAGGGTTGTCCAACCTTTTTACAGCCTGGGCCATTATTTTATTTTGATGACAACACGAGGGCCACAAATTAAGAAAAATTATTTTGTTTAAACTTCTAATTTAAAACAACTAATTCCATTTCAATATTGTCAAAAAAAATGTATTTAATGGGAAACTTGGCATTGTTTATTTTTACACAATTGATCAATGTCAGCTTTTATAGTGGACGATGAAATCCGAAGTGTATCAGTGAGGTGTTCATCTTTCAACCTATGTCTCTGCTCTGATTTAACATGTTTCATTCTTGAAAAAAATTGTTCACAGATGTATGTGCTTCCAAAAAGGGAAAAGTATTTCATAGCGTGTTTGCACAATTGTGGATAAACTTCAATGTTCATGTATTTTTTATAAAGTTCTAACAATTCAACATCTTTGTAAGCATCTTTCAAATCTTTATTGTTTTGTAGTTCTATTAATTCCATTTGAAATTCATCTCTTACTGTCTCAACTTTAATGGAAAATGGATGTGAAAATAAGTCTAACTCATTCTTTACTTCTTTAAAATCACAAAATCTTGTGTCAAATTCATCAATTACTTTTAAAATAAGATTACAATATTTTTCATAGTCAACTGTGTTGGTATTTCTTTCTGACAATGTTTTAAAATGGATAAGTGATTTTTGACTTAATTGTTGTTTGAGAAGTTTCAATTTCAAAACAAATGTTTCTACATTTTCATATAATTTACTAATAAGTTGATCTTTACCCTGCAACTTGATATTTAATTCCATTAACATCTGTGTAATGTCAACTAAAAATGCCAAATCATTCAGCCAGTCATTATTTTCAAGAAAGCTTGTGTCTTTATCTTTAATTTTTAGAAACTTTATTATTTCAGGTATTAATATCCAAAATCTTTTCAAAGTTGCAGCTCGACTAAGCCATCTAACTTGGCAGAAATAAATTACATCTTCTGCCTCACTCCCACAATCCTCAAGCAATTGTTTGAACTGTCTGTGATTAAGGCCACGACTTCTTATAAAATTAACAGTTTGGATAACAATTTCCATGACTTCTTTCATTTCTAATACTTTTGCACATAACTGTTCCTGATGTATAATACAGTGATATGAAAGAATGTTGTGATTAATGGATTTCTTAAATAATGCCACAAATCCAATATTTTTTCCTTTCATTGAACTTGCTCCATCTGTAGTGACACCAGAGAGTTTTGTTTCTGGCAAATCAAACTTTATCATTGTTTTTTTGACTACAGAAAGAATATCTTCCCCTTTAGTAGTGCCTTTCATGTGCCTGAAATCCAACAGTTCTTCAATTATTTCAAAATTACTTGTTATAAATCTAATAAAAATAGTTAACTGAGCCGTATCACTTCTATCTGTTGATTCATCAAGTGCCAGACTATATGCTTCACACTTACATAGTTTTTCTTTCAATGCTAATTCAATATTCTTTGATAGATCTTCAACCCTTCTTGCAATTGTCTGGTGTGAAAGACTGAGATCTTCAGCAAATTGTATTTTTTCAGGGCATACCTCATTACAAAATTGTTTTATAGAGTTTTTTATTAAATCTCCAGTAGAAAAAGGTTGACCACTTTTTGCAATATTTTCTGCAATTAAAAAACTTATTTTGGTAGCACTGTATGAGCTAATTACTTTACTTTTCATTATTGATTGTTGCCCGATAAAATTTTTTTTTAGCAGTTCTACCTTATCAACACGAAATTGGCCCTTGAATTTATCATAAGTTGCTGCATGTTTTGTAGTATAGTGTCTATTAACATTATACATTTTGCACACGGCAATTTTTTCAAAACAAATGAGACACATAATTGAATTATTTTGCTCCATTACAAAATATTCATTTGTCCAAGATGGGTTAAATATACGACCTCCTCTTCCACTTTCAGTTTCAGCTCTACGTCTTTTATTAGCACTAGCAGAAGCCATATTTAAAAAAAAATCAATATAACTATGGTTCCGCTAACCAAATAGTCAATACCGTTTTAACCGGTTTTATAAAAAAAATAAGGCGGTAGTTTTAACCGTGTTGCAATTTTAAAAAAAATCTGATTTTTAAAATTATATTAAAAAACTGCCCTAATTCTGAGCTACAGAAAAAATAGTTTTAAAAATATAATATTCACTTGATTTTGTTAAAAGTTTTGAATGGTTTTTGATAAGTTAAGAATTGAAAACGCGGGCCATGGCAAAAGACAACGAGGGCCACTTTGTGGCCCGCGGGCCACGCGTTGGACAACCCTGGTATATACTTTATATAAAACGCGCTGAAGCCAGTTTTTAAAAACAGCCGCCATCTTGGATAACCCAAAACATTGCGCGGAACTTTATATTTTCAGTATAAAACTTTGCTAAAATGAAATGAAAACTTTGATATAAATAATTGAGTAAGTTGCTAGTTATATTCTTAGGTTATATAATGCTACGAGGAATTGTTTGCTAACTGATTATCGGGTTCAGTTCATTCCAAAATATTGGAATACTGAAATAGAGATTCAGATAGTCAACGCACTATTAGCAGATTTCGTATTTTACACAGTGTTAACATCTTTTGGAATAAAACAAATGTTTGTGAGTTTTTTAAAATCAAATGTAAACATAACTATATTAAATATTTCTTCATAAATAAATATATTAAATATTTCTTCTTTAATCTTGTGTGTATATATATATATATATATATATATATATATATATATATATATATATATATATATATATATATATATATATATATATATACATATATATATATATATATATATATATATATATATATATATATATATATATATATATATATATATATATATATATATATATATATATATATATATATATATATATATATAATTAAATGGATATGCACATAGTTTAAGTGAAATAAATTTCTTTACAGGTGATCTTACTGACCAGTAAAAATAACAAGCTTTTTGTGTTGCTGTCGACTCAGTATATTTTTTTTACTATTTATCCAAGTGGTATAACGTTTTCTTGCATACCAGTATCTGACTTGCAAGTACTTTTCAGCAATATCTTTTATTAACAAAACAAGTTGATTTTCCATCGGACTGCACTCCATCATATGATTAGTTAGTGAAGAAAATATGTTTACATGCAAATATGTTTTCAATATTGACTGCATAATTGCATGGCAGCTTACATTTGACAAGGATAATGAATCATTGCTATTGTGTTCTACATTAATTCTAAACAACTTTTCACACAAAATGCAAATATCAAGTACATCCTTTGAAGGAAATATCAAAGCCCCTTTTGTTTTCAAGTTAATTAATGCGTATTGCTCATACTTGGTACTTGTATTTAGTGCTGAAATACATGTTTCACAGTGCAGCGAATTTCCCAGTTTAAACACAACAAATCCTGCAATATAAGCAACAATACTATGAGAACATGAAGATAAATGACTAGGATTAGGAACTGAGTAATAATCGTGATCTATAACAGAGTTTTCTAGTGGTTCAATAATCCTATTTCTGCTAGTAGAGCTATTCAAAACACTAACAGAAGGAACATCAATATTTTCGTTTCCTTTGTATCCACTAGAAGCAGTCAAAATAGGTACAACTTGCAATGGCAAACAATTTCCACGAACAACATCTTGAACATCACTATGCACAAGCAATTTTCTATATGCTCCAATAAACTGTTTTGCTGAAGGGTTATTATTACAACCTAATAAACTTCTTATTTTTCCAAAAAACAGCTCTATATGATCTTGGCTAAATTTAAAAGAACACATAAATTTTATACCAAACTGAGGTTTAACAATTATCCAATGATACAGAAGTAAAACATTGTCAATGGCAGCTAAAAATCCCAAAAAGCCAGTCTTACGATTTGACTTTAGTAAAGGTTTGCCATTTAATGATTCTTGTAGAGCAACAATATATTGCCTTGATTGCTGCAAGAAACAGGTTATTTCATGCAAGTTTTTTTCTTGTAGAGGTGCCTTCAAGCCTTTACTGTATAAATTCCTGGAAGTCAAAATATCAAATAGACCATTAAACACATGAATAAACTTTATTGTTGGCTGGCAATTTTCGAAGCCTGGTATTTCACTAATTAGACAAAACTCTAATGATGATGCGACACTCTCGCTAAGTAATTGTGCAGCCAATTTTACATTCATTTTCTTCTTAAACCATTGCAGGTGCGCTGACCGTAGTTTGTTCCCCAAATGTACACCTTCATTTTCTTGAAGTTGGTGAAGTTTTTCAATATATTCCCACTTAACAAATTGCCCTTCACCACCAACCAAGGATTTTTTATCACCTAGTGTATTACGTACTAATTTAAGCATATGGCAAGGATCAAAAAAAAGTACAACCTGTTCTTTAGTTTCTGGATGTTGAAACCAAGCTTTAAAATTAGAGTCAGCTGAATCAGTATTGCATTCTAGGTATTTTGCCATTGAAAAGTTTGAAGCACAACCATCACAAGTAAGGGATGCAACAGTCACACAAATACTATGAAGTTTGGTAAGGCACTGCCGAACCAAATTAGCTCGTTGTTTCCCTGTAAGCCCGTCAATCAAAAAGTAAGTTATTGGAAGCTTAAATGAATCATTTATAGAAACAACCATAAATGTTAGTGCTTCTTTTGCTAAAGGCAAGCTATCATCATCAATTTCAGTCCCATAATCTATGTACCCTTGGTACTTTTTGCCATCCCACTCAACTTGTTGTCTAATCGCAACTTCATCCATTATTAAAGCGCAAAGAAGGTTCTTATTTTTTGCAGCCATCTCAGACACTTTATGTTGCAAAGCTGTAAAAGACTCTGCTGTAAAACCTGGCTTACAATTAATAGTGTGAAACCACTTCTCAATTGTTCTAGGATGCGGAAGACAAGTATTAAACATTTTGCGCACATAACGATATGCATGAGGCGAATAGAAATGCAAGGTTAAAGCAAAACTTCTTAATTTTGGTGAAAATTGTTGCTGAGTAGATTATCCTAAGCATTTTGAAAATTGTCTTTTTAACAAATCTCATACCCCTCCAGCAGACTTTTGCAATATATAAAGGCTCTCACCTTCCAGTACATTATTTCGTTCAAGATCAGCAATAACATTTTTTAAGCTAACATTTCTCTTAGCAAGCCTTCTTTTTTTTTGTAGTAAAAGTTTTATTTTTTTTTTAGAAAAAGCTAAATATCTTTCTGCCTTGCATAACTTTCGATTTAAGTTTGCTTTTCTTGGAGTTTCATCACTTGTAATAGCAGCTTGAAATTCGACTGTCATTGGTAGTGAAGTGCAAGAATTAGAAAAATCATCATTTATAACATTTGCAGTCGTAAAATCCGAGGTTGCATAGGTTCTCAATTTTGGAGCCTTACGAACTGGTTTAGCTTTTTTTAAGTAGCATGGAAAAGCTTCAAAAATGCTTGGTATGGCACCATACCGAACTCTCACACACGAGAGACTAGTTCTATCCATATTAGCTTCTGTAAAGTGCTTTGAACATACAACTGCTGATTTACGCGGGTCAGTAAAGTTTTTTCTACGTAAAGCAGTTATCCATTTTTGTCTTAATTCTGGATATTTGATTTTTGATGGAAATCTATAAAAGCATTATTTGACTAATAAAACAACGAAATCACCAGAGTAATAGTATATATTATTCCTTTGTGGAATTTTTTTGTATGATACAGCTTAACATACCTATGAAAAGTAATTCCATTAGCACGATCTCTTGCAGTACATCCATAGGCAGAACAAGATGGCATGTCAGTTTATATCTTGTTAATTAACTATATAGTCTACACTCAGAGTAAATCATAAAAAGCTAAAAACAATACAGTTAATGTTTATAAAAAATTTTATTTACTTTATTTTATTTATTATTATTATTTTATTTATTTAACACCCAATTTACAAGGTAAAAAGAAAAAAATAAGAAAGTTATTTCAGATGACTTTGCTTAAAAACGTTTTCTTCCAGAATTTGCTTGAAAACTCCTCTTTGCTCTTTTGCATTCCAGCACTCTATTGCATACTCCAAGTTTCGTTCAACTTCGGAAGGAATTTTACTTTTAGAAAGTGGTATTTTTACCTTCTTTTTATTTTGAATTAGGTTTTGAAAATTTAATATCTGAAGATGGCATAGTTCCTGAATATCACTAACAAACGAATGTTGAAATAACGGGTGTTGCAGTTGTGAATAGATAATGTCTGCAGTTGTTTTGTTATTAAGAAGTCGAAGGAACAAGTTTAACTTATTTTGTTGAACACTTTTTGAAATTTCCTGGATTTTAAATAACGAATTCATATAGTTTTTACTATGTTTTGAAACATTTAAAAACGATTTTAGCGCACTCCTTCCAATTATATCTAGCTTTTTCATCAGACCAGGATTATTTTCACATAGCTCCATACCATAAGTTAAGGTGGGGACTGCCAATGATTTATATATATAGGAAATAGAACTGGGGTGAGCAAACCGGATTCCAGATTGAATAAGAGTTTGAACAACAGCTCTAAAGTTTGATATTTTTTCATCAACATTTGAATAACCGAGTGAAGCAAAAACTGAATGTTTAGTATCCCATGTGAATCCCAGATGTCTAAGTTTATTCTGAAGATTTTTTTTATTACCAGAAATTGTTATTGTATTAGTTTGTATTTGGGCTTTACCTGAGATCAAGAACTCAGTCTTTTCGGCATTCAGTTTAATACAATTTAGATTACTGTAAATATTGCATGTTTTTATAAGCTTTTTGAGACCAGATAAGGTAGAGCTTAAAAGTATTATATCATCCGCATAGGCTACCACACCAGTAAAGTTACCGTTTATAGATGTGCCAACAATACCCTGATTTTTAATAGTTTCGAGAAAACTTTCAGTGTAAATATTATAGAGGTGAGGCGAAAGAATTGATCCTTGTCTTACTCCTTGGTTTAGAGGAAAAGAGTTTGATTTACAACCTTGATATGAGACTGTTGCGCTACTATTGTTATACAACGAGGAGATAGTGTTAACTATACATAGTGGTAATTTCTTATCAAAATATAATTTTTCAAATAGGATATTCCAGTTACAGCTATCGAAAGCTTTTTCTGCATCTAAAGAACATAGATACACAGGGGAATGGTTGCTGTTGTAATGTTTAATTGTTTCGCTTATTAGAAATTCAGCATGTAGCGTTGAAGAGTTAGCATTGAATCCAAATTGTAGGGAGTGAGTATCTCTAATATCCGGACATATAATTAAGATCAGGTATTCTAGAACCTTTGTAAAAATTGGTATAATACTAATACCACGATAGTTGCTTGGGCTATCTAAAGACTTTTTGTACGATTTAACAAGGGGTACAATAGTTGACGTCGACATTGATATTGGAGTCGATCCATAATTAATAGAATAATTAAAAAATTTGATGAGCCATTTTGTTAAAGTATCGCACTTTGCGTATTTCAAATGTTCTGCTGAGATACCGAAAGAGTCAGGAGATTTTTTTAATTTTAAATTTGAAATAGCCCCAATTATATTTTCTTCAGTTATTGTTACATCATCATGTTTTGTACACGGGGGAATTCTCTGATTTTCTTTACGATGAGTTATTTTTGGAGTATTCAGTACTCTTTCGAAGTGGTTTGCGAATTCTGAAGTAATAGATTCTTTGTCTTTTTTATTATTTATGGTAAATAATCTAGAATTTATGTCTTTGTTTAAACATCTAAAAGCATTCCAAAAGTTTTTTGGTTTAGTATTTTTTAACTTTTCAATTTTAATATATTGTGCGCAAATTTTATTATTTTGAGCCGACTTGACGGCTTTACGAAAGTTTTTACGAGCCATTTGGTAACGGTTAAATGATACCGAGTTTAATTCTTTAGAAAAACCAGAATCTCTCCATTTTTTAAAATGAATTGAAAGAATAGTTTTAGACCGACTTAATTCAGGTGTCCACCAAGATTTTGAATACAAACATTGCTTTTTATTTTTTAAAGTCTCCTTAAAAGCTATTTGAGCGCTGTCAGTAATTTTTTTATAGATTTGGAGAAGGTCGTATTCATAATCGTTAGTAAAATTAAGATTGTTAAAGCGATTGGTTAAATGAACATTGTAAGAATTTATAAAGTTAGAATCGTTCCAAGCGTAGCTAGGTATATTAGTACCTTCTGCTAGTTCAATGGTATTGCATTCGGTGTACTTAACTTCAACTGATATTGATAGTGGTAGGTGGTCGCTCAAATTATTTGAGCATTCAGGATGAACAATGCATTTAAGATTTATAAAACTTGTATATTTTGATACGGCGAAGTGATCAATATATGACGAATTCGGTAGTGTCTGGTGTCGATATGTATAATTAGGGCCAGAACCTTTAGTTACATCAACTAGTTCTAATTGATTTGTTTTTAAAAATTCCGATAAGTGCACAGAATAACTATTTCTTTTAGAATTTGATCTTTCAAATAAATCATACATTTGGTGAGGAAAGGATTGGAAGTCACCTGCTAATATTATATTGCCGTTACCTTCGTAACTATCAATTAGACCTTTAACAGTATCTAGTTGACCTTTATATTCTTCCAGAGACGAGAGGTTATTCCGCGATGAGGAGAGGTATAAACCAATAACTATAATATTAAGATTGTTTTTTTCGAAATTTATTGCTAAAATATGGTCGTCCTCGTAAATTACCCTTATATTTTGGAATTTATTTTTTCGTACAAAAAACGCATTTCCGCCAAACGGTCGGCCTTTTTCATGTTTATTAGACTGATGGAAATAAATGGAGTGTGTGTTATTAGATATATCCCTTATTACGGAGTATTCAAGTTTAGATATCCAATGTTCACATAAGAAAGTTATATCATAGGATTGTATAAGTGACTTTGTAAAATCAATGTTTGACTTAAGTCCCTGACAGTTGAAAGTACATATATCGAAAGTTGTTGAAGATTTGTTTTCTTCTCTTATGGTGCTTGGATCCATTTTCAATTAATATTTGTTATTCCCCCGTTGGATACCAGATGATCCACGTTAGAATATATGCGCTTTTTACGGAATGGTTTAATGATGATATTATTATCCCATAATGAAGGGTTGAAAATTTTATCTTTTTCTGAATTACTTACGGAGACTCTATACGATCTGTTGAATTCGTTTTCTCTGTTTAAAGTAATTGATATAGGCGTAACACCTAATTCAGTTTCCATATACAATTTCATATGTTCTTCGTTGATTCGATTGCTAACACCACCTATAAAAACTTCAAATCTACGAATTATTCGACTACCAGCAATAGTCTCATTTCCCGGAGTTTTCGTTCCAAATATAGGCTCCAATAACTTATGTTTTTTTTCTAAGGGTAGAATATTTGTTTGGCGGACAGGTTTATTATTTTTTCCAACTAAATTAAAACTATTCGGATTATCATCAATATTTGAAGGTTTTTCTTTAAATTGGTTAGTTTTGTCTGAGGTCTGTTGTTTTTGAGCCGCAACCTTTGCATATGTTTTGATATTATGCGGTTGGCTTTCTGTATAAATGCTTGCATTCGTTTTGCCACAAGGTTGTTGAAAATTACCTTTTGCAGCATTTGCGGTGACATTAGAATTTTTATTTTCGTTTAGTGTGTGGTAATTAAAAAGCTTATTTTCGCATTGGGCATAATAATCGGATTTTAGGTTTTTTTTTAGGTCTTGAATAAGCTCATTTTGTATACTTATTTTTTCTTTTAACAAACCTAATTCCACTTTTATTTCTATATTTTCGTTTTGGATTGATTTTGAAATTTGTAATAAATCTTTTAATGATGAAGTCAGAAATTTATCGTCTAAGTGCGCAGTTTCTATATTCTTGCAAGAGATTAATGTCTTTGAAATTTCTTTGTGCAACTGATTTTCGCATAGAGTTATCGAGAAGATAAATATATCTTCTAAACATTTGGTTGTTTTGTACCGTTTACGAAGATTTTTTTCCATTGGATTTTCTGAGTCTAACGTTACGTTAATCTCTCTGAATTGTTCACTACTGAAGCTATCCAAAACTTCAAAAAACAAACGTTCACGGAGACTTCTTATTACATTTTCTTTCATTGAGTTTAAATTGTGTATTATAATATCTTTTGGGTGCGAACATATTTCTTCTAAATTCTTCAAAAAGTTGCATTCGAATGTGTTCAAATCTGAGTTCAGATATACAAATATCTCACTAACGGTGCGTGGTGCCATGTCGTATTGAAGTGTTATTAGATAATTAGTTCCACTTTAACATTAATCTTCATTATAATAAATATTCATTAATAGTTTATTTTTATTATATATATATATATAAGTTTATTATAATTATGCTTATATATGTGTATATATATATATATATATATATATATATATATATATATATATATATATATATATATATATATATATACACACACACACATATATTATTTGTTTAAATATAGGTAATAACTCACAAACATTTGGTTTTATTTTCTCAAGAATCTTTCATACTATCTGAAATACAATATTTTCTATTATCGTGTTGAAATACAGCTATCTGAAGGTCTATTTCAGTATTCGGAAAGTTATTGCAATAAACTGAAGAAGACAATCAGTTAGCAAATAATTTTTTATTAGATTGTAGAAGCTGCCAAACATAAACTATCAAATAATTCAATCATTTAGTGCAATGTTTTATTAAATTCTTCGGTAAAATTTTAAGTTCCGTGAAATGTTTTGAGTAAACCAAGATAGCGTCCGTTTTTTAAAACTGGCTTCAAAAAAATCATGTGACACCGTCTCCTGTTTATTAAAGCTCCGTGGCCTACACTGAGCAAAAAAAGAAATTCTAGTCATTCAAAATGTATTAATGACCTTGTACCTTTTTTTTAAACTTAGTAAAATAATTAACAAGTGATTAAAAAAATATTAATATTTATTGTTGGAATTATTTTTTAAAGTCTCATTTAAACTTGACGGTTTAATGTCAACATCTTAAAACCCCCATGCTTACTAGCTTTCAAATTTTTTTTCTGATATATAATTATATTGCGTACATTTTTGAAATGATTGTGAAGTGATTTTAATTCGTATAAATGTTGATAAGACCATACAGCATTTTATTGATTGACATAAAACCTTTTTGTTTTTTTTGATAACTTAATTATAAATTGAAAATTTACCAGTAATTTTTGTCTGCATTTTTCTCTTAATTTGATAAAATTCCATGACTTGTAATTTGATAAAATCCATGACTTGTGACTTCCACACTTGTGAGGAAGGTTCCATTAAAGTAACCCTATTTGCAATATAGGAAATTAGTCGCCTAATCTATTACGGTCTTATCACAATTTTAAAACTTGATAAAATGCAAATTGAACGATTATAATACCAATTACAGTACAGATCAATGGCATTTTTAAACGCACTTACTTATTTGAGGTTTTCCTTTAATTTCATTTTTTTTTAAAAAAAAAATTCGTACAATATCAAATAATTTTTTTTAAAAAACTTTACAAGTCTCTTTAAAAAAATAAACGCAACACGGTGTTTTTTAAACACCTGGTTTTTTAAAATATCTTTTATTCCGTAAGAATCATGCGATTATTTAGGTGATCGAAAAAAAGCATCAGCTGGGAAACACCTAATATCTTATTGGTCTAAAAACGCAATTAAGAATAACTTTTCTATAAAAAGTAAGACTGTTGTCGCACTACTTTTTGATAGCGGCTGGTCGAGAATACTTGGACTACACCATAATTACATTATTCCCATGCATCATCACCACCACCACCACCGTTATCATTATTTTTTTGCCAACCGTCATTTGAATCAGCAGCGTTGTATGAGCCACCATTTAGTTCGGCGTTGTTCTGAAAACACATTAGAGTATAAATGTCTTAAATAAAAAAATTCTTTACTTTATATTAAAATTAAATCATGAAGAAATATTTTTAAAAATTAAACAAATGGCAATTTATCGACATCAACTTCATAACTTACAAATCTCGAGTCTTTCGACGCAAACCTTCCGCCTTTCGGACCATAACCGGTACCTAAAGCGCTTTCAGCAGCTTCTTCCAGCCAGCTGGGAACTTCTTGTTCCGCCTATAAAAAATCAAGATTTAAAAACGTTTTCAAATAATAAACAAATTATTTTTTAATTCTCAAAAACAAAAACATACGTCTGCTAGAGTTTTGACTAGTGCTCTTGCTAAGCCTTCATCTTTTCCACGAGTAAAAAAAGATATAGCTTTTCCTTTATTACCAATACGACCTGTTCGTCCGATTCTATGAATGTATTCTTCAATTTCATCGGGAAGATCGTAATTAATCACTTGCTTAACATCAGCTATATCTAATCCGCGCGCTGCCACTGCAGTTGCAATCAAGACATGTTGTGTACCAGCTTTAAACTCTGCCAAAGCTTCTTCACGCTGTTGTTGCAAACGATCACTGAATTTAAAAAATGGACGTTAAATGAAAAAAAACAAAAAACTAATAAATATGCATGAAGGAAAAGGAAAAAAACAAATATATTTCGTTTAAGCTAATATTTATTTATTTTAGGTATCAGTTAGATAACTTAATAGTTTTAGCTAACTTTAAATTAAAGCAATAGTTTCAATTCACTTAATAGCTCCAATAGTTTCAATACTGTACAAATCAAAAGAGTTTTACTAAATTTTTTTGATTTGCTCTTTAAAAAATTTTATATTATCAATATTATAAAATATAATAAATGACAAATTTTTTTAAACATAACTAAAAATATCACTTAAATCATTTTTTTCTATAAAAATTTAATATAAAAAACTAACTACGAAGCAGTTTATAGTGTATATATGTATATCTTGTGTGAACCACATTCTAGATAGCATATAGAATGAATATTATTTAGAATTTGGACATAATACCATATACAATTATTTTATTTAATACAATTATGCAACAAACAACTTTGAAAAAAAGCAAATAACAATTTAAAATTTTGAAAACAATTGTAGTCCTAAATAATCAAATTAAATTTTGAGAAATATTTCAACATTAACCATCATACCCATGAATGCTTGTAGTGTGGAATCCATTTTGGCAAAGATAACTAGCTAAGAAATCTGCTAAACGTTTAGTTTGCACGAAAACCAAATTGCGATTTGTTCCTTCAGTATCTAAGATTTCAATTAATTTATCTCTTTTTGCAGATTCTTCAACTTCCATAATACATTGAGTAATATCAGAATGAGTTCCACCAACTTTCCCAATTGTTAAATAAACATAATTATTAAGAAACTCAGCTGCTAAATTTTGTATTTCTGTGGGAAAGGTTGCACTAAACATTAAAGTGTGTCTATCCTCTTTTGGAGGCATATCAAAATCATTTATGATAGCTTTAATTTCTGGCAAAAACCCCATGTCCAACATGCGATCAGCTTCATCCAAAATTAAATATTTCAAATTAGCCAATGAAATCTACAATTCAAAACAAGAGTTAAAAGATAATAACAATGAAGATTAATTAAAATAAATAAAATATTTAAAATTCTTTCATATGCATTTGAATATCCAGTATAAAATTTAAAACACTTTAAAAAATGAAATAAAAACAGATTATTGTATAACTTGAAAAAAATCTAGATTTTTAAAATCAGCTGATCATAAGTCTATGTAAAAACATGGCTATGCAATCCTTTTATAAAACCTTATCTTAATTTAACATATATTTATTTTAACTTGAACAAATAAAATATATGACAATTAAAATATAATAAATGACGAGTTGAATATAAAAATGGAGATGTAGCTCAACAACATTTTTTATAGAAATCTTTCTACCATTATTTTAGTTGCAGAGCAGCCTTAATTGAACTTAAAATTTATGCTTAAACATAAATTTTGTAACAATAAATAAATTTTTTTAAATATAAATATTAGTTACTGGAAAATTTTAAATGGTAAAGAAAGTTTTGATTAAAAAAATTGTTTTAAATACAAAAAAAATGTTTTATTGTCAACTTTTTTAGTAAATTTTCATAGACGACGAGTGGTGAGATAAATAAATGGTAAATAATGAAAGTTGTACTAATTTAAAAATTAAACATTAAAAAAAAAATACAATTATTTGTCACATTTTTCATTTATCTTATTTTAGGTACTAAATTTCATGGAGTTGCAAAGCATCAACAATTTGTAAAAATAAAGAAAATTAGCTTAAGACTACACAAAAATAGAAGTAGCAAGTTTTTATGAAGTAAATAAAACTTTGGTGATCAAAATCACTTTTAAGATCAAAACTTTTAACTTTTTGCGGTCATCTTACCAATAAATAATAACCGATGATCTTTATCAATTTTCAAGTTTTTGAACATCTTGTATAACATGCTGTGAAAGTTGAATAGGATTCTGGCAATACTTGATGAAAAATAGGCCAAAAAAATACCGAACTTCTTTTCAGCTTTGATTTTAGATGGTCAATTTATTATCTATTCATGTTTATCAAGAATAAAATCCTAGAATTAAAATTAATATCCCAGAATGCCTGAAAATAATTTCAAAGTTACAGGTAGCCGACATCAAAAAAGTTTATTGCATTGCAACCATGATGAACTTTTTAATAATTTTTAAATACCTTTATTTTAATATAGGATTTTGAAAGTTTTGTACCGTACAGTGATACTAACTGTGTATGTTTCTACTCACCATCTCAAAATTACTTATAAATGCTATTCAATGATATCTTTCATACAACGATTTAATGTCAATATATATATATATATATATATATATATATATATATATATATATATATATATATATATATATATATATATATATATATATATATATATATATATATATATATATACACACACACACACATATATATAAAAGTAAAAAAAAAAATAAAAAATAAAAAAATGAATGGATAGTAAAAGTTTACAAAGATCATTGCAAAATCAACTATTAACAGTTTATATGCTTGAGCTTTGTATTGCCAAAACAAAATTTGCCAAAAATATTTGATAAAATTACTAAACAAAATAAAAAGCTGAAAAAAACAAACAAAAACTAAAGTAATAATTTCAAATATGAAAAACTATTCCATGGAACATTACATATCTATTTTAAATTTCGATATTAGTTTTAAAAGGAAAAGTTAATGCTCACAATGTGTAGACAGATTCAAAGTAGCAATGACAGATGCTGTGATTGATCTAAATATAAATGATTGCGGCACATGTATGATTACTTTTGTTGGGCGGACCTGTTTACAGAGATAGGTATTATTACAAAGATTATTCAAATTAAGCACCCTGATAGCCCAACTTAAAACTCCCACCAAGAGATGTCTATTGGGTACAATTGTTGAATTTAATCAGTAATCAATGTCTCAACAATAAGATTAGGGTAAATATATCAGCGAAAAAGAATCAGCGAATAACATTTTATTATAGTTATTATATTACTATACTATAACTCGTAAATTTTAATTTGTTAACTTTTAAAAACTTTTTAATTTTTATATAATTTTTGTTTCTTGAGTTTCTTTTTTATATAATTTTTATTTTCCAGGTTAATTTATCTTTATTCATCTTCTGATTTCTTTAAAGTTTTTAGTTTGATAAAAATGAAATTTATATTTTATAAATTTAAGTTATTTTTTGAACTATTGACAACTAAACTATTTAGGACTTCTAAAATTAAAAAATTAGATTTTGATATTTTTAAATGTATGGAGTTGTTTTATTGGATTCTTAACTCCAAAATATGTAAAGGCACATGTTTTCAATTTTCTTGCCAACAAAAAAGTAACAAAGGCAGAAATAGTTATTAAAATTGGAGGTATTTCTTTGGTTCAAACTAAAGTTATAATATCTTTATAATCAGTCAAAAGTAGATAAAAATTTAGTGATAATCATCATTTAATAAAAGCTTTGAGTGGTTTGAAAATTAGCTGATAGTTTAGGTTGTATTTTCTAATAAAGTTGGATGTTTCATATGACATTGCCCTTACCTGGATTGTACAAGACAAAAAGAAAAAAATATTGTCCCTACCTGGATTATATAAAACAAAAACAAAGTATGTAACAATGTACCATATTAGCTACAGAAAATTAATTAAATAATTTCAATAAAAAACCTCCTTATTTGAACTACACATATGAATATACATTGAAATACCATAAATAACATATTAAAATATTAATACACATGCTAAATAAATTAAATTACCTTACGCTTTCCGAGAAAATCTTTTAATCTACCCGGTGTACCAACAAGCAAATGGCAACCTTGCTGAACTTGACGAAGATGATAAGCAACTTGCACACCACCATATATAACAACAGGTTTAATGGAAGTATTTTGTGCAAATTTCCGTGCTTCTTTTTGTATTTGAACAGCTAACTCACGTGTAGGAGCAATAACTAGTGCAAGTGGAGCTTGCACTTCTGAGAGAGAACTAGTAAGTTCTGAACGAAACTGCATTAAAGTATTCAACACAGGGATTAGAAAAGCAGCCTAAAGAAAAAAAATTAAAAACCATAAAATTGCCTAAATTCTGTCACTTAACCTTTGAACATTTATATCCTAGGCAAAATTAATTGTTTTTTCATTTATTTTTTTTCTGAATTATCCAGACAACTATATCTTATTTTATATTGCAAGTATGACATGACAGGGTGGCCACTTAAATTTGAAAATAAAATTCCATGACTCTTCTTAAACTTTATGATAAATCACCAGATTAAAATATTCAGCACTTGCAATGCACTAAGCATTTGCAACTTGGTCATTATAAAACATGCTAACCAAAAACTAATTGGTAAAAAGTTCTGAAATCATGTTTAAAAAAAAACAATTTTTCTTTTACTTCTCTGATAACTTACACTGCAAAAATATCTTTTTCAAAAAGGACTCAGACTAGACATACTAGTATTTTTGCATCCTAAAAATATCACAAGTAGAAAAAATAAAAATAATTTTAAAAAGTTCCATGAATTTTCAATGACTTTCAATGAAAATTTAGGAATTCCATGACATTTCCATGACCAGTGGCCACCCTACATGTAAAAACTAGCAAGGAAATCTCTAGAGGCTGTAGATAAAAATTGAATTTTATTGTAATGATGAAAATAGCAGGCAAATGTCTGGTAAAAAAGATTTGAGTATAGCTTGAAGATCTCATATGCAAAAGCAATTGATTGTCTCAAATCTAAATAAACTCTATACTAAGTTTAAAATTAGTAATCATGATATAAAGAGTTGTTTTTTTAAATTTTGCTCACATTGCCCAAAATGGAGCATTACAGTAAGAGTATCTGATAAGCATACAGTGTGTGTGCACCATCGAAATGTGAAGTTAATGATTAGTGCAGTTAAATTATATAAGGATTATCATGAAATTATTAACATGCTTGTTTGTAGTAGGGCTAACAAAAATTGCACGATACCTAATTGCACTTTGTGTCCAAAAGATTCTATATTAAGACATAATCTTGAAAACAAGTTGTATTCTCAAAAAGATATTGATGAAGATGATTATTGTATAGATTACAAAAAATAAAAGACTGATCTGAGCTAGTAAGTCTAACAAAAATCATAAGTACCTTCATTAAAACTTTAATAATAAGTTACAAAAACTTACTTTTATTTATATTATCATTGAAAAAAGCCAAGGTGCTCTTTTAAAGAAAATAAGAAATAAGTTAAGTAGTACTGAAGTTATTGTCTTTTGTAATTTATTAGAAAGTTATGTTGTACAAGACGAAGTACAAAGTTTTCACTGGAACAAAATTCAAGCATTGCATCCAGGCAAAGTTTATTATATAGTAAATGTCTTTAAATGTGATTCAATGTTTTATCTCAGATGATTTACTGCATGATGTAGATACGGTATATCAGGTGATCAACAGTTATCAACTGTTATCAAAAGTTATCAACTGAACATATTAAAAGCAAATTTCGCTTTAAATGGAAACTGTTCATTACTTTTCAAAAGGGTGTTGGTTATACAAAAACTGCAATCACTTCATAAATATATGCAACGGTGAACAAGATTTTGCTTTGAAATGTGCATGGTCTTTCTCTGCAAGAAGTCATGGTAAATCCTATTAAAACCATCACACTGTGATGGTATTGATGGTACTGTAAAAAAACTTACTTTGCTAGCTTTCATCAAACAACAAATCATATAACATACAGCATCTGCAATGCTTTATTTTTGCTAAAATGAAATCACAGGAATTATTAGTTTATTATTATAAGTTTTTATTACATAGTAAGTCAAACATAATACTTTTCTATTGACTAGCTGGTTAATTGTGTAAAATTAGAAAATCGAAGTACGTACTTTTAAATTAAACCCTCCCACCCCCATTAGCTTTTTGAAGACCTGCTCCCCCTATGAGTGTTCGTACTTTATGGACGACCCCTAAGTAACACAAAAATCGGAACAAAAGTTGTTTCTGAACAATTAGAATATTTGTTTGTTTTTAATTTTCAAACTGATGAAATTATTAAAAAATGGTTGTTTAATATAGGCATTGGAGTATTTGTATGTTTGATATACTGATAATAATTCATGGATCGGACTAGTTGAGAATACTGATGTTAAAAATAAAGACTTTCAAGTTAGATTTCTGCATTTTACTTTTCAAGGTCATATTGTTGGCCTTCTAGAGATGACGGCAAGTGCTGGGTTCCATCAACAGACTTATTAAAATTTATTGGAATGATTAAATATTCAAACAACTGTCACAGAAAGACAATAGAAAATCAGTGAAAGTGATTACCAAAGCATTGAAGAAAGCTGGGCAAACTTTAAACCAGAGTTTAAAGTTTGCCCAGCTTTCTTCAATGCTTTGGTAATCACTTTCACTGATTTTCTATTGTCTTTCTGTGATTTTTGTAATTTTTGTTTTTTTTATTTTCATTGTTTTAAAACATTAAGGTAAACTATTTCAGCATTTGAAATTAGAGTTCAAAGATTTTGCTTAACAACATGTTGTATCAAAAATATAGCAATGTCTCTAATGATGGTATATTTGAATGACCTCTACAGCAGAATGCCTAACAAAACAAAAATATAAACCATGACACCATCATATTTATAAAGTTGTTTTACTAATATTTCAAATAACTTAATGTTAACTATTCAATAATTTGTCTTTAAATGACAAGAGAAAGTTCTCAGGAGAGAGGTCTCACCAATATAACAATATATTGTTGAGAAAAAAGAAAATTTATATAATTTTTTTTTTTAACACTTTTTTAAAGTATTGATTTGCTTAAAATAATGGTTATTTTCAGACCACTTAAAATAATAATAAAAATTAAAATAAATACAAGGTTTTCCAAAAAAGAAAAAAAAAAAATTAAAAATAATATTGAAATATATAGTTAAAAAAAAAAACAACATACTGTTTTGCCTGATCCAGTTTGAGCACATGACATAAGATCTCGATTTCCTGTAATTATCGGTATAGCATATTTTTGGACTGGTGTGGGCTTTATATAGTGTGCTTTTTCAACATTTTCTAAAATAGTTCTATCAATGTTTGCTTCTGCAAACTCTCTAATAGCACTAGGAATTATACCTGGTCCTGTAACTTCAACAGGAATATTGTCATATTTATTAAAATTAATTCCCTGTGCAATTGTTCTATATAAATCCTGTTCATCTTCAGAAGGTTCAGGAGGTACATAAGTGACAGCTTGTGGTTTATTAGGATCTTGAGGAGCTTCACAGTCTTTAGCAAAATGACCAGATTCACCGCATCGCCTACATGTATCATCTCTAGGCTTCTTATCAGGACAATCTTTTGCAAAATGTCCGGACTGTTTACATATTCTACAACCATCATCTCGCTTTTCAGATGCACCAAAACCTCCTCCACCAGCAGCATCATCTCCAAACCCCCCACCATTTCCCTCAAAACTATTACTGTCAGTTGAAATTGTTCCAAAGCCACCACCACCTGCACCAAAGCCACCACCACTTGCACCAAAGCCGCCACCACCACTCGCACCAAAGCCGCCACCACCACCAAAACCACCACTTTTTTCACCAAAACCACCACCACCTCCACCAAAACCACCACTTTTCTCACCAAAACCACCACCACCTCCGCTGCCATCAGGACACTCCCTTGACATATGTCCTTCTTTTCCACATTTATGACAAGTCCTACTACCACCACCTCCACCACCTTGAGGACAATCTTTTGACATATGACCCTCTTGTTTACATTTGAAACATGCCCTACCTCCTCCTCCACCATCAGGACACTCTCTTGACATATGACCCTCTTTTCCACATTTATGACAAGCTCTACCGCCACCACTTCCTCCTTGTGGGCAATCTCTAGACATATGACCCTCTTGTTTACATTTGAAACATGCCCTACCTCCTCCACCACCCCCACCATCAGGACACTCCCTTGACATATGCCCTTCTTTTCCACATTTATGACAAGCCCTTCCACCACCACCTCCATTAAAACTGCTGCCACCAAAACCACCTGAAGATCCAAAACCACCTACAGAGGTGTCACCAAATCCGCCTGCACTACTTGATCCAAATCCTCCTCCACTATTAAAACTTTTACCAAAACTGCTTGATCCGCCTATAAAAACAAAACAAAAAAGCAGTAAAATCAATTGAGTATAAGTATCACAAACCGGAAAGTGCGCAAAAGCGGACACTTATCAGGAAAACTAAATACCTTCACTAAAAATAAAGATATTTGTATATTTTAAAAAAGTTTTTAATTTTTAGTGCGTGGAATATAAAATTTCAAAAAATAAAAATTATTAAAATGATTGTTTTAATAAGATTGTTCAAAAAAAAAATCTAACCCTAAAAATCAAACTTTTTTTTGGAAATTAGGTTTTTAGCATGAAAGATTTTAAAAGGCAATTTAAAAACAAAGGAAGCTATTTTGTTGGAAATTTTTTAATTCCAAAAATTGTTTTAGATTTTCAAAATCTTACTCTAAAAACTTATTACTGAAACAAGATTTTCTTTACTTTTCACTATAAACCTGACACAATTAATCCCCCTTATAATCAATTAAAATTCAATAGGTTAATCTGATGATTATTTTTTACTCTAATTGAATTTTTTTATGTTAAATTTAATTTATTTTATTATTTTTTCAAAATTTTGTACTTTTAATAATATTAAAATTAAAGTGCAAAACTACACTAAGTAACAACAAGAGTGCATCATTTCTTATATTTCAAAAATCTCTATAGATCTGTAACTAATTTAAATTTACTCAACTTAAAATGACAAAAAATAAAACAAATGACAAGTCTTACACAGAAAAGACAATAAAAAGCGCATTGGATAAGATTGAAAATGGCGAGTTGAGCTTAAGAGCCGCAGCTCAGTTCTACCACATACCAAAATCAATATTATCCAACCAAAAATCAAATAAGACTTTAGTAGTTGTAGTGGCAATACAATTGAGCCTTGGTTTAACAAGCTATTAGGTTAACCTTGATTCACATTCTTCAGATGCTACAAACATTGCATCTTTGAGAGCAGGGTCATGCACACCAGAAATTATTGCCTGTTATTTTGATGTTTTGAAAAAACATTTTAATTTAGCAAAAATAGGTTTTAGTAAAGTTATGCATTTGTGGAAAACTAGTTTCAATGGTAACAAAGGTGATGCAAAAGTAATTACCAGAAGAAGTGCTAAGCATATACTAGTATTACCTGGAAATAATGAAAAAATAAACTACACTGTTGATAATTGTGTTAATGCTTACGGATTCCTTTAACCGCCTTTTGCTGTTTACAAATAAAAAAATCGACTATGATGATTGGATTAAAGGAAGCCCACCAAACACACTTTACACAACATCCCTATTTGGTTGAATGGAAAGTAATCAATTTTTGCAATGGCTCAAATGTTTATTCCTCACATTCAAAAAATTGGTGGCCAACATATTTACCTTTTGGATGACAACAGCTCACACATGTCAATAGGTGTAGCCTTAAAGTGTATAGAAAACAATACAACACTAATTTACATTTCCACCCATTCATCTCAGATTCTGCCTCTTGATGTTGGTGTATTTTGCCATGTCAAAAATGTTTGGCGTGATATATGAAGAAAATTTTATGCGGAAAGTGGTTTTAGCAATTAGCCCAAAAAATTTTTCCCACGCCTCCTTGCACGGTTGTATAGAAGCAACAAAGCTTACAATCGTACTCAAATTATTGCTATTCTTAAATACACTGGGTTCTTTCCATTAAAGCATAACAACATTGCCAAATCAAAATTACGAATTTGTCAAAATTTTAATAACAGCATCAGCAGTTACAAAATCACCACACAGCTCAAGTTCTTGCCTTAAACAAACCTTAATTATGCCTGCAACTCCAACTTCAACGTTTCACAGGAAGACGTGCGATTGCACACAATTATAAGAACATGCTAAAAATACTTTGTTTTGGTAATTTGACCACGGTTTTTGACATGTTTTCAATATTTAAAAATGCGCTAAAAAAAATCTTAATGAAAGAGAAAATAAAAGAAACCTAACTAAATCAAAAACACAATATATATATATATATCAAGCCTTCCCAGGTAAGGCGTGTGATTTTTCATCTCGTATGACCACACGCAATTATAATATTTTAGAAAACATAAACACGGCTGTTTGCAAGTTTTATAATAATGCTCAAAAACTTAACTAACAAAATGAAAAGAGATTGAAATAGAATAAAATAAAACAAATTAATAATTTAAATAATTTGTGTACTGTCTTTATTTTTGTTTCTTTAGAGTTACATTTAGCAATAAAATTAGATAAGGCGAAGCAAAAAAACAAAACAAAACAAAAAAAAAAAAAACAGTTTGAAGTCTACAATAAAAAGAATGATTTTCCTTTTCTTGATTTTTTTTTTAGGAGGAGAGCAAAAATACTAATTGCAATGTGTTTGTAAAATTTATTTTTACAATTTTAATGTAATAACAAGGATTGAATAAAGCGAATGCAAAACGCAAAATCTGGAAAATATCTAGTATTCAAAATGTTAGTTTATACAAAAATGTGTTTCTTGTTTTTAAGGGGAGAATTAACTTAAATTTGTTAGCGAAAAAATAAAAAATAAAACAATAAACTTACGATTACAAAAGTAATAACACTCTAGTCACTAACTGCATTACAAAAGTAATAACACTATAATAGTGTTAACACTTTTATAACGCACTTATAACTTTTAAAATTCATTCTTTGTTCAAGCAACATTAGTATTCCCAAATTTTAATTGAAGTAGAAAAATATCTAGAAGAATAAAGTGGATGTTCAAATAATATTAAAACTAAAGTAACTTATAAAATTGTGACAAACAACTTTATAAAAATGTATCGTATTAAAAGTTTAGCATTATGAAAAACGTTACTAATGGACCATAAAAACGCGCAATAATTTTAAAATTAACCAATAAAAAAATTTTATTGGTTGATTTTAAAATTAACGCACGTTTTTACGTAATGTTTTTCATAATGCTATACTTTTTATAAAGTAACATGTTTAAGCGATATGTGAAAGTTCCTGAAATTTTTAATAATATTTGAATATCCGCTTTATTTTTTCTAGATGCTTTTCTACTTTAACAAATGTTTGGAATTAATGTTGTTTGAACAAAGAGTGAACTTTAAAAGTAATAAGTGCTTTATAAATGTAATAGCACTATTATAGTTTTATTACTTTTATAATGCAGTTAGTAACTAAAGTGTTATTACTTTTGTAGTCGTAAGTTTATTGTTTTTTTTTTTTTTTTTTGTAACTTTCTTGCTAGCAAACTTTTAATAATTTGCTCCTTTTAAACAAAGTACACAGCTTTGCATGAACTAAAATTTTAAAGACCTAATATTTTACCAGAGTTTGCTAATGCGATCGTATAATTTAACTCTTGATATAAACTTGTTACGTTATAATTATACAAATATATTTTACAAACAGATGACGATACATATTTTCTCTTTCCTCTTTAAAAGAAAAAACACATAAAATATAGGAAAGTCATCCTTTTTAATGCCTAAAACCATTTTTTTTTTGTTGCTTTGACTTAGTGAATTTTGTTCCCGATAACAATAACCACTAAGAAAAAACAAAAATAAAAACAACACAAATTATTCTAACTATTATTATTGTTTTCTATTTAAGTTAACTTTAATTTCTTATGTAGTTATTAAATTTAAAACAATTTTTCAGTATAGCATATAATATAACTTGAGCAAACGGCCGTGATCACATTCTCTAAATTGAAAAAGCTGTGACAATTGTAAAGAAAATGTACCAAAAAAAGTATACCCCCAACAATTTCTGTGAGGGTGCGGTTGTGCCTCACAATGAGAGCAAAACCATTTTTTTCACTAAGTGTAATTTTTGAGTAATAACATTTTCAAAAACTGTTTAATTCTTATCTTAATTGCATTAATATAAAGTTTAATGAGGTGGTTATTAAAACAAACTGTTAAAAAAAATACATTTTGTTTTTACTTTCATATAACATTAATCCAAACATTACGGGGGCAGTTATGCTCCCACTTCCCCTACACATTAAAAAACTATTTCATTCTTTATTTTGACATTTGTACTCTTTTTTTTCTTTAAACGACTTTTGCTGTCGTAGAAAGTCATTGTTTATAAAAACAAAATTAATTCTTCTTTTTTTAATAACATTTATTATAAAAAACGCTTATTTGAATATATATTTGCATAATATAAATTAAATATATATTTATTAATATAAATTTAAAAAATTATATAGCTGTATAAAGTAAAAAAAACTATATACAACTGTCAATTATACTTAAAAAAAAAAATCATTATCAGTAAACTTTTACTTTATTTTTTTAATTAAAGTTTCGCTAATATAAAAACATTTAGTTTAGAAGTTTTAATGTAATTGATTTCATTAAAGGTATAATTTCATTCAGTCGCAGTCAAATTGTCAAAGCAAAATGTGATTGCCTGGTCATATGACCTGCGATCCCATCTTTTTATTAGCTTAACAATTAATTTTTCTGAGGAAAATTGTGAAGCAAACTTATATTAATTAAAAAATATCTTCGTTAATCTAGCCATTTAGCTTTTGCCATAAAAAATATTATGTCAACATAATTTAAAATCTAGATTTGACAAAACAAAAAAATTCTCATAAAAAAAAAAAAAAAAAAAAAAAATCATAAAAAAAAACAACACACAAAGAACCAAGCCCCCAAGATAAGTTTTTTTTCTCCCTAAAGTACATCTTTTAAATTTCTTTTAAATTGCCTTTGAGAGATTTTGTGAATTTTGGGTATCAAAAAATATGGTTGTCAAATATGCTTAAATGTGATTATTTGAAGTCAGCCCCACGGTATTATTAAAATGTTCCAAAAGATTATATTTTCCATTAACCAATAATATCTTTTCAAAACGTTCTTAATGATTTCCCTAAGATTTTTTAATCATTAGTTATAAATATATATTTAAAGCTTCGCCTTTTCTAATAAAAGTCTTATAAAAAAATTTATAAAAGTCTAATTTAAAAAAAAAAAAAAAATTATAATATATACAGAAACTATTCTATTTTTGTAATAACTAATTTATAATTCGATAATTAATATTTGATAACTTACCAGCTCCTGAACCAAATCCTCCCACCTAGAGAAAAAAAAATATTTACTACACATGTAAATACGCTTTACTCTATTTTAAAAAAGAATTATAAGCTTACAAGTATACCAATAATAACTATTTTGGTAGTTTGTGGGTGAGAGAAATCGTTTAATATTACAGTGATGCATTTTTGTAAAAATTAATGACATGCTGCTAAAAATATGGAAGAACCTGAATACTATCAGAGCTCGAAGCATATCGCAATTACTTTTCAAACCTTTGCGATTAGTTTATACTTAAAAAAAAAATTTTCGCAATTTTAGTTAACTTATTTTTATCTAATTTAGCTTTTTTTGTTTTTCAAGTTTTTTTATTATTTTTAACAATTTCATATTATTAATTTAACTACTTTAATTATATTAGAATATAGATTAAGCTCGTTTTTATAAAATAAATTTTCTAATAGTTAATGAATGCTAATAGAAACCAGTAACTTTTTTGCTTCACAATAAATTTACTAATAAACTAAATCAAAACAACCAGTTAAGTTACTACAGTAACTTACAACAGTTACTCACTTATTAACTTAATAACTATATTAATTTACTTAATATACTCAAAGACTCGCAAAAGTTAGCCATACATATGTTTTTATTTATATCTTTTATGTTTAACACATAATGTTATAACTAAAAATTACTTTAACAAGAAATGTCAAACGAATATGAAAAATGCTATACCATTTTTTAATATTTAATTTATATTTAAAAAGATATCAAGATTAAACATTTCTATAAAGTTGTTTTTAGGAGTTTTTTTAAAAAAGAAATTTATTTGAGCAAAATAATTCATCTAAAAAAGTCTTCTAAAACTCTCTTATTTAAATATTTTTGCGATTAAAAATTGAAAAAAAAAAAAGGGAAAAAAAGGAAAAATTTCAAAAGATTTTAATGTTCAATAATTTTAATCACAGTGGCGTCCATAATACTCAGTAACAATGCGAAGGTTATTCTTGAAAGTTAAACGTATATCTTAGATATGGTTAATGTAGCTAGATTCTAGCTACATTAACAATATCAGATTTAGAACATAGTGCAAGGGAGGAAGAATATTTTATTTAAATTGTAAACATTTATTTGTAAACATTTTTTTAAAATTTAAATAAAAATAAAAAATTTAAATAAAAATAAATAATTTTACTTCTGTTCAAGGAAATTTTTTTCCAAAAAAATAATTTAAGCATATACTTAAATGAAATATAAATCGATTTATTAAACAAAATTTTTTCTAACTTTTTATTACAAAACAATTTGAACGAAAAAACTGAATAAAAACATTAACTTAAAAAACCATTTGAATGAAAGAATTATTTATAATTAAATTTTAACCATGTGTTTAGCGCAACCGTACCGTTGCTTTAATTTTTTTCTCAAAGTCACGGTAGTGATTTCTGATTGGATTCTGATTTTTTTCTTTCTTTTATTTAAAGAATGCATGCCAAAACCTAAACCCTTAATCAATGTATGTACGCCTCACTTATCCTATCCCTAAATCATTCGATATATGTACACTCACTGCACCTATCCGTGAATCAGTTGATGTATGTGCACTCTCTGTGCCTATCCCTATATCAGTCAATGAATGTAAAAAAATAAAAATGAATGTAACTTTTAATATTCAACAGATATAACAATTTTCAATAAAAAATAGTTAAAAGAAATTTTTTGAAGTAAAGAACTCAATCTCAGATCACAGCGGATGATGAACCAAGGAGATACCACAATACTAAACGCTTAATGTTAAAATTGCAACTTTTTTAAAATTTGTACAAATAAAACATTCAAAATCAACTAATAATATTCGCAGCCGTGACTTACAATAAACTAATCAAACTTTACTACAGGACTTTAAGATTAAAGCAACGGTACCATTGCGCTAGCCACAATGTTGATATCAACACAAGCTCTGTATATTGTTAAAACTTTACAATTTGTTTTATTGTTGTTTTACAGCTTTTTACAACAATAACTCAATACTTTTTAAAGATAACACATGTTTATCGTCAGCATGAAAGAATTAAATAGTTTTCTACAACTAAAGTGGTTCAAATAATTTTGTGTTTTTACTTTTACTTTAAAAATATCATGTTAAGTAAAAACAATTACCAAAAGTAATATTGCAATAGTATTAAATACTTTACTTGCTCAGTACATCACAACTTGCTCATTACACAATAACTACAACTTAAGCTAAAACTTTAGATGTAAATTACTCAAACTCCGCCAAAGGAGAAAACTATAAGTTAAAACTTAAATATGAGATGTATTATATAAAAAAAAATAACTCTAGGAGGTTGGGGGGTTGGGTTGGAAGAAGAAGTGTAAGAATTTTTTTTTTTTTTTTTTTTTTTTGCGATTAGATTATTTTGCATTAATTTGAGCTTTAGCTATATCCCTATAGAAACAAGCCAAATAATAATTCAACTCAGTGCAACACTAATGATAGCAAAAGTCATCCAAGGTTTGGATATATGATATATGTTAAATAAAGCACCTTTTATAAGCTATTTAAAATTAATAACAACGGTTTATTTTTAAACTATTAATATAAACTATTTATTAAAAATTTATACAGTAAATCATTATGAATGGTTGGGAAGTTGGATCAAGTTTATCACTCTTATTAAAGTACAAGGGGTTTAGTGTCATATTCTGTCAATAAGTATATAAGTTAGCTCCATCTGATAATTTACTTAACTGCAATTTTCTTATTACATATTAATGCCTGCTGAACTAAGTCAACTGGTTGAAGAACTTGATTCTGAAATAAGGAAGATCTGTATATTGCAACTGATGACTAAAACTATGTAACTAAAGTGAATGTTTATATTGCAGTAGAGAAACACATTTTACATAAAATGAGCATAGAACAGTAAGACTTGTGATCAGTTTAAGATGACTTAAATTTATTAGATTTGACAATAAAAATACATGCATGAAACAGATAAAGCTATTATTTCCATATATTAGGTATATTTTGATCTGGTCAATTGGAAAAAATGCAATATCCAAAAATTTCTTCCTAACTTTGCAACTAGTAAGGTATTGAACTCTTGGAACATGATTAGTATCAGAAAAAATAAGTTTTCCGCTAAGCATGATACTTGGTGGAAAAATTTCCTTCAAGGTGGAGTAAAAACTTTGCTTGGACAATACGATGTGCTAAAATCCAAGGCATTAGCTAGCTCTTAAGTAACTCATGGCAGTCATGAATTTTCTTAGATCATTGGCATTTATTATGTCTGCTGAGACCAAAAGGGAAAACATAAAAAAAAGCTGTTTGATTCCATGCAACCTGTTTGCAACAAAAATTCAGCATTAAACATAACATGTAATAGATGTATAAATAAATAAAAAATATTTCCTTAATTTTCTTGCATATTGCTATTTAAATAGTTAGTGCTTTTTTATTAAACTAAGTAATATTAGTACAACAAACGAATGTCTTTTTTTTTCCCCATCATTTTTGTACAAAATTATATGAAGTACTATTGTATCTATACTGTCTTTTACTTTGTATATGTATACAAAAAATTTCTCTAGAGTATTTAACCTGGGTGAATTTGAAAAATATTTTAAACTTTTTATAAAATTTTTTATAATTTAAAACCTTTTTAAAAAAATTATAATTGTCATACATAATTGACCTTGAATATTTATGTTAAAAATGTTGTTTTTTGTATATAAAATTAAAGTAATATATTTTTATTTAAAACCATTCTTTCTGAAATTGAAATAAAATTTTAGTGCTTTTCAGATGTCTGTGCTCTTTTTATAGGCAATCTCTTGAAATACTTTCTGAGAAATATTTTTAATGATGAGACTCACCATGTAATCAAGTGTCATATTTCTTTATTTGAGTTTTCATGCTATATTTTCTATACAATGTTCTTATATCTGAAGATATTGTTGGCTTAGCATAGGAACAACCACAAATAGTCATTAAGACTAATCCAAAGTAACATAGCGAGTTACTTTTTTCAAAAAATACAAATAACTTTTTAGTTACTTTTAAACCAAAGTTTATCTATTTTTAAAGGGGCAACTAGGGGCACCAAAAAGTCATAACACTACCTTGACATAATTGATGAAATATTGAAATAGCTCTCTTGCAAGAGTTACATAACATACAACTCTAAACAGCTACTATCTAGCAATGAATTTTTTTTTAATGAAAAGTCTGTCTGGTTTAAAGTTAGTAATTTAATACTTAAAGTTTGCAAAACACACTACAACAGTATTAACCTAAATAAGCAACCACTATTTAAACAGTTAATAAAAAAAAAAGAGGTAAAATTAAAAATAAAAAAAGACTTGTAAAATGTAAAGTGTAAAATGTTGACCTTAGGAACTATTCATCTACAGTTAGAAAACTATTCATCTACAGTTAAGAAATTATATTATCTAAAGTTAGAAAACTATTCATTAGAGTTAAGCAGCCTAAAACAATTTTTTTTTCCTGTATATGTGCTATAGCATATATATATATATATATATATATATATATATATATATATATATATATATATATATATATATATATATATATATATATATATATAACCTTTCGAATTAGGAAAAAAAGAGGTTGGGAATAATTTGCCAACCTCAATCTTTTAGGGGCCAGCATTAGCTTGACAAAAAAAAAATAATACAAAGGTCTAACCATTAGACATAGAAATGAGTGCGGCAATTTTTTGTTGACCTCAAACACTTTAAGGTTGGCACTTAGGTTGGCATTGCCAAATGCTGACGCTAATTCCAAGGGCTGATATATATAAAATAACATATTTGTTTTAGAATCTCTTTGTAAATGTGCATATTGTTTAAGATCAAATGTAACAGGTATTTATATTGTGTAGTGTATTAAATAATGATGCTGAATACTGTGAAACAAGGGCTTTTTACCTGGGAGGTTCATAACTTTTTAAGAATATTATTTTTGACTTGGTAATGCTAAAAATTATATCACGATTCAAATCATAATTAGATCTGAAGACCTTTGGGTGAAGGTATAAGTGGTAGTAAATTTTCTTTCGATGACAGCTAGACAGCTATGCCTTTGGAGAATATTCTACTATCTGGTTCTTTATAGTTTTTTCTTTTAGTGCTTCTTTGTAATTTATTTTATTTGCCTTTAGTATCCGGTCTTTCTTCCGCTGCTCGAAGTTTAAATATATGGATATTTCTTAACTTAACTTTGTATTTTTGTTGTTTTATTTTTTTTTTTTGAGTTTTTGTTATTTTAAGGTAACATCAGCATAAAAAAGATGGGTAATGATATATATATATATATATATATATATATATATATATATATATATATATATATATATATATATATATAATGTATATTTTATAGTTAAAGAAATTTTTGTTTTTGAATTAATTAAATGTTTCAAAATCATTATGATATAAAGATGTCGTTAGCTAATACATTTATATTCAAATAAAACCAATGTACATTATGCAACAACTGTTAAAAAATATTTGTGTTTATAGAGCTATCGTTATCATTGTGCTTATATACAACTTTAACAAAAACAAGTTGTTATACCTAATCACGATTAAATTTAAATATAAATTATTTAGTACAAATCAAAATTACAAATTTTGAGAAAAGTTAAACTTTTTGGGCATTAAATTAATAACCATGCGGCAGGTATAGTTTTAACTTTATAAAAGATAGAACTTTTAATTTTTTTAAAAAAAACTCCACACTTTATTTAAAAATAAAATTTTTATTTAATTTTTCAAAAACAAATTATTTTATAATATCGAATAATCACATAAACGTTTATAAATTGAAAAACATATTTACATCTGAAGTTGGTGTTTCGTCCCAGTCGTCACTCATGGTATTTTTTAAAAAGGTGCTCGTGTTCACCTTTCTGTTTTGCACTTAGGTAGACTGGTCCTTAAATTAATACGGCTGATAACGAGGCTGAAAACGAAAAAGTCATATAATTTTAACGAAATTTGTCAGATTTTTTTCCACAGGTTAGATTTAATTAGATTTCCATATATAAATAAACTTTTTAACAGCTACTAAATGTTCTAAAGGACCGCAAGTCCAAAACAATGGCAGACTTTAACAGAATATCTCAGGATTGTATTTAAAAAAAGTGAATCGATTTCTCGTTCTGCAAAAAAAGCCAACGATGTCTGACTCGACAAAACTTGCATTAAAATCGTGCAATTGGTTTCGCAAAGGGTTCTGGGATGTGTATAAAAGTTAAATAGTAAAACACAAACAAAATTAAATAAACATGAACAATTTGAACTTTGTTATTGAATGATTTAATCGTTTTCAATTGATTTTTTCTTTGCAATAATAATTAGATTTTTTAAATATGTTAAAGAATACCTAACAATTTTTGCTAGATTTTTTTTATAACATATATGTATAAATAAAATGAACATTTTAAATTAAAATGTTTGTTCATATGATATATACATTTACTTTGTTAGACATTATACTGTTTTTATTGTTCAAAATAAAAAAAGTTAAACAATAAAAATTTTATACTATTATGTTTTATTTTATACCATATGTTTGCATTATATATTATTATAAATCAGTGATACCGAATTTAATCATTTGCTTTTAAAGTTAACAAAACTTGGTGTTATATCTTTATAAATTATTATTAAAACTCTGTCTAATGACACATGCAAAACCAACTTTCTTTATGAATCAGTATTGTAAGGATTCCCGCATGTGTATAGGAGATATTAGGATTTATGTGTTTTTTAGACAAAAACGTAACTTTTTGGAACATCGTTCCCGCTTTTAGGGATGAAAATAAAAAAAGATTATTTTATAATTAAAGGGTAAGTTTTATGTCTAATTTAGGCAGTTGTTTTGGATAATTTTATGGTAAATTATTGTGAAGCAGATAATAAAAATTTTAGAAAGCACTCCTTTACAAAAACTTTTTTTGTTATTTTTTATTTTTACTTCGGCGGATGCCATAGCTAACGACGAAGCTAAGCAAGCATCAAAAAAATAAAAATTAGATGAACAAGCTGCAAAGAAATTAAGAGAGCAAAGGTTGCCACTACTACTCAAAAAGTAGAAAATGCACAGAAAAGAGAAGAAAAAAAAAAATTGAAATAAAGTTAGTCAGCTAAAACACCAGGTAAAAAAGGTTGAATGACAAAGAATCAATCAGAAGACCCACATTTACCTCAAGCTTCAAATAGTACTTTAGTATCTTAAAATTGTTTTTGTTATTCCCGTTAAATAAAATACCCGTTATATTTTTAAAAAACATAGCGGGAGTTTTCCCCGCACATTACGGGTAATTGCTGTTATGTTTAATACTTTACATGTATGAAAATAACATAACGGTTTTAGCGTTATGTTTAGTCATAGCAAACATGCCTTAAACATAACGGTTACATAACGCTAATTTACCGTTATGTGCGAGGAAAACTCCAACCTAACATAACGGGTAATTACCCGTTATGTTACCGTTATGTTGAAAGTCTAACATAACGGGTAATTACCCGTTATGTAAAATGAAAATTATCTTTTAAAGAAACGCATAATTCTGCATGACTATTCGCAGAAAGTACTTAACAAAAAAACATTTTTTTGTCAATAAAAGTTGTAATAAGAAAATAAAAATTATGCAGTTTCATATCCTAATATATTTATATTATATTATCTATAATAATCATGAAAATTATTTACGAAATAATTGAATAAATTATTTACAAAATAATTGAATAAATTGTTTACAAAATAATTGAATAAAATAACTTATTAACATTTATAAATTCAAAAGTAATTTGAATTGCTTTGAAAAAATTGTAGAAGAAAAATACATTTTTTAGATAATAAAGCCATTTGCAAAAAGCCTCAAATATCTTGCTAACATCCCGGAAGCCGCCAAAAACAAGAATCAAATCTACACTCTAAGAAAAAATCCGTTATATACAACGAATTGTATCTGTCGCTATTGCACCAACGGGAAATCCGTTAAGTTAACGAATTAAAATTTTAACGAATTGAAGTCCGTCAGGAATAGTCCGTTGAATTTACGGATTTATTTCGTTAGTGCAACGAATAATCCGTTAAAATTAAGGAGTTATTACACTAGGCAGGAAATTTTTCGCGGTTGTTATTCCTATGAAATAAATGTGTTAATAAGTTATTTTAGTGATTATTTCGTTAAAATCACTAAAATCTTAAGTTAGAGAGGCCAGCATTGTGACCTCATAACCAAATAATCCTTATATTTGTTAATGTTTGCATTTTTATTTAATTGCATTATTTTATTTCGATATTCTACATTAAAACGTTTAAACCAAAAATTGAAAACTAATCAAATATTTATAATATTTAATCCAATATATTTTAAATTACAATAAATATACTTAAAAAATTTTTTTAATACACTATACTAAATCTAGTACATTTATATAAAAAACACACATATATATAATAGATGTTTAAAATAAACCAATGCCAAGATAGTTTTTGGTCGCTAGTTTTGGTTTGGTTGGTGTAAATAGGTTTTGGTTTTGAATACTGTTGTTACTCGTACACAGGTTCGCACTTTAAATCGGACACCATGCTGTCAAATCCCTAAAGATTAATATAAAATAAAATAAGGAAAAGATGGAAACTTAATAACATACCTAGTATAGAACCAAAATAAATGTTACTGATAGCACTATAGAAAATGTTTTTGGTAATTCATTATATATAAATTTCTATTCTAAATTTTGTTATTTTAATTATCGTTTTTTAAAGATAAAGTTAAATGGAACAAGTAAATTATACCTTTATTAAAATGTAAATTGAAAAAAAAGTATAAGATTACCTTGACATTATCTGATAATTGAAAGACTCTATACATTTCACATAGATCAATACCTATCAGGAGCAAAAAATAAAGTCTCTAACCTTTTAAAAACTATGATAAATCAAAACAAGATTAAATATGCAGACCAAAAAAAACGCAAGTAACTATATGAAAAAATTAATTTTACAACTTATTTAAACTTACAGTATCATACCACTTGTCACATGTTTAAATTGCTAATTCTAAAATAATAGTGAATATAGAATATAGTAGAATAATAGTTAAAAAAGTGTGATATAAACTTAGTCTTAACTAAACTAAAAACATATGCATGCCAAAAGAAATGCAAGTTAAAATACAGTTTTTTTAAATTTACTAATTTAAACTTACTGTGGGATACCACATGCCACGTGTCTAAAACAGTAAATTTTAAAATAGTATAAACACGCCAGATATAAACTTATTATTATTATTATTATTAATAGTTGAAACTCAACTAAATAAATATGCACGCCAATAGAAATGCAAGTTAAAATATAAGTTTTACAACCAATTTAAACTTACAGTATGACAGCTTATACCAAGTGTCTAAAATAGCAAATTCTGAAATAATATAAACAAGCGATACACAAACTTAGTTGTAATCTAATTATATAAACATGAATGTCAAAAGAAATGCAAGTTAAAATATAATTTTTTTTTAAATATACTAATTCAAACTTACAGTGGGATACCACATGCCACATGTCTAAAACAGTAAATTCTAAAATAATACAAACACATCAGATATAAACTTAGATTAAACTCAACTAAATAAATATGCAAGTTACAATATAAATTCTACAACCAATTTAAACCTACAATGTGACACTAAATGCCATGCCTCTAAAGCAGCAAATTCTAAGATAGTATAAATAAACATGAATGTTAAAAGAAAAAGACCCAGTGGGCACACGACGCTATTTCGACGTTGATTTACAGTTGATTTTTAGTCGCGACGTCGTATAACCAAAAATCAACGTTGTATCAACGTTGAAAAATTTGTTTAAAACAATCAAATAAAATCGACGTTGATTCCACGTTAATTCAACGTCTATATTACGAGTTCGATCGTTCGTAATTGCAATATGATAACTAAAATACGCATGCGTGACTTAAAATTTTTTTATTAACATAACAAATAACAAGTAAAGACTTAACAAGTTATATATTAGCCCAATAAAAACAAGTAAAGTCACACATGCTAATAAATTAGGTCATCTGTTGCCTTTTTATAAGGTTTTGAATTTGACAATTTAACAATAATACATGGCTTAACTTGTGATGCAGTTAGTTAGGTAAATATTAAATGGATATTTCTTTATGACCGTATTATTTCATGAGTGTGGATTACAAGTAGAGACTACTTGATATATTATATAAATATAAAATATTATATATATTATATTATATATGTTTTTCTTATTTATATAATATATATATATATATATATATATATATATATATATATATATATATATATATATATATATATATATATATATATATATATATATATTATATATGCATATTATATATATGTATATATATATATATATATATATATATATATATATATATATATATATATATATATATATATATATATATATATATATATGTATATATATATATATATATATATATATATATATATATATATATATATATATATATATATATATATATGTATATACATGTATATAATATGCATATATAATATATACATACACTATATATGTATATATACATACATAATATAAATATATATAATGGATGATGTTTTACAAAATAATGATTTATCAAGCTTTTTTACCAATCCATGTGATTTAAAGAGTTTAAATATTTTTTATATTAAAAAATTTTTATTAAATTTTTAAAGATTTTTCTTGTAAAGTTGTATAAAAAAGAATTTCTGAATGCTTCTTTAGTCCATAATATTGGTAGAAAGATCAACATAAAAATTTAGCAAATTTTAGCAACTGTATAATGTATCATAACGTGCAGTTTATAGTTGTATTTTTCTGTTAGCTATTTTACATGAACAAATTTTTAATATATAAGTATTTTTTCTATTATAATTTCTACTATACTTTTCCAGTTGAAAAAGTATAGTAGGGCATGCAATATGTTCATTCAAGCTGTTTGTATAGAAAATACAGAGAAATAAAGAGAGAAAATTCGATTGATAATTTTTTGTGCTGCTCATCATCTTTAAATGTAATAAATTGTTTCAATGAAATGCATAAACCGCATAAAACTAATACAGATTTAAGCTGCTCAAAATTTAATGTCATGGAGATAATGTAATTTTTTTTTAATATAAACCTTAAGTCATTACTTTTTTTCCTTGTTTTTTTAACATGCTTTCATTCTGTATATGTTGTTTTCAGTGTTTAGATATATTCTTTATTATATATTCTTTATTACATAATGTATTTAAAACATTTTTAAATTGAATGAATATTCTTAGATCATGAGTTATGTAATAAATTTGAATTTGCCTCTATAAGTGATACTCAGATAGAATCAGGTTCAGAAAACAGTAACTATTTCAAAAGATACTTAATTCAAGTATTATTAGTTATATTTTGATATTAATTATTATAGGAGCCACTACCATGCTTATGCAAGAGAAAACATAATAACCAACAGAATAGTAAGCAAATACCTACTCCTGTAACGCAAAAAAAGAAACAGAAAACATTTTTTATGCATACTCCACATACTGTAGCTCAAGTTATTAATTGTCTGTCTGCAAGTTGATTTAGGAAGAAAAGATTCTGAACATTTTTTTCTATGCTTCAGTGATTTACACATTTCTTTGGTTGCTAAATTAATACATTTTATTTAATTTATGAATAATGTTTTATTTTATAAATTTTTTGTTCTTGTGTTTCAACACTTTTAGAAATTAATTAATGTTTGGTTCTTTTGTCTTTTTGATATATCTTTATTGTTAGAAAGAGATGTTAGTAAAAACTCTTTCCAGTAATTAAAGTTATATCATGACAAATAGTCCTGAAATTCTTATGTATAACAGTTTAAATGATTCTTGGGTGAGGTCAGAACTGATAGGTTGTTTCAAACCATGACTTTTTGCAGTTTTTTTTATTGTTTTTTGATTAAGTATTTATTATTAACTTTGCCTAAGTTAATCTACTTGTAACTTTTTATAAATGTACTATAAAAATAATGTGGTGTAATTATTTTCTTAATCCTTTAGGTTAACAAACTTTCTAAAATTGGAGGTAAAACCATTAAGACAAATACAAATGCATGTGATGCAAAGGTTTGTTAAAAGTAGTTTTAAATAAAAAATCTTTTGAATCTTTTTTATAGTTTGTTTTAAACTTGTGTTAAAAATCTGTGTAGCATATATTTTTAAAAGTTTGACGAATTCTAATCAGACATAAAATGAATCTTTTTTTTTTATGTCTGATTATAATTTTTTTTGTAACTGTTTTCTCTTACTTTTGTATTTCCTTGAGCTAAAGAACAACCTTAAAGTGCAAAGGTTGATTTGTAACGCATACTTAACCTTTTTTTTTACTCTATATATACAAACATATATATGTACATACATATAAATGTATGTATATATACATACATGTGTGTATATGTATATATACATATATATATATATATATATATATATATGTATATATATATACATACATATATATATATATATATATTTTATATATATATATATATATATATATATATATATATATATATATATATGTATGTATATATATATATATATATATATATATATATATATATATATGTATATATATATATATATATATATATATATATATATATATATATATATATATATATATATATATATATATATATATAATATTGATAGTGCAATTTAAAGTTTTTTCTTTTGTTTATAAAGTTGTACTTGATAAAAACAAATAAATAAAGATGAACATTTTGAATATTTATTGATTATTATGATAAATTATATAAAATACAGTCGTGTGACAATTTATTATGGCCACCCACAATTTTCAAAATTATCAAGTTTCAAAGTCTATTATTTTTGGTATTTTTTTGTGATTTATGTACTCAAAGTAACTTTCATTTAAGAAATGGGTATTTTTTTGACAAATAAAAACATTTAACGTATTGTTTATTATTTTATTATTAAAATATTATTAAATAAATTTTATTATTCAAATTAAACAAATTTTATTATTCAAATATAACTGCAAATATATTCAAGATCAATATTTGGTGATTCCTCCTTTGCCTCTATAATTGCAGGAACCCTTTTTGGCATACTTTTAATGCATTTTTGAGCCATTTCCTTCAATTCTTTATTATAGTTCCAATGTTGAATAATTCTTTCTATTAAATACACTTTATTTGTAATAATTTTTTCAGATGTTTGCTTCTTTAGGAGCGCCCAAACATTTTCTATAGGATTTAGGTCAGAAGAGTTTCCTGACCAATCAAGTAATGGAATATTTTGTTCTGATAGATATTTTTTAACTGATTTAGCTGTGCGACATGGTCATGCCCTGTCCTGCATGAAGGCTTTTTTTTCACCTGGACTAAACTATTCTGCCAATTGTGACAACAATCTTTGTTCCAGCATTTTTATATTGTAACTGTAACATTTTTCATTTTGCAATATAGAACCTTCCTATTTCTTTTACACATTTCATTGATCAGATTATCACAGAGGTGGGGTGTTTAACAGTTTGCATGATGCAGTCCAATAAGTATTTTTTCCCTTTTTTTCTTTTTAAAACTTAAAAGTACTCTCGCCGCTAAAGCATACCTTCAAATATTATACAAGGATTGTTAAGTGAATATTGAATGAATATTTAAAGTTTGGTGTAAGAAAGTGGATATTTTAAATTCATCTAAATTATTTTTATTAATTACCAATCATATGTTAAATTCTTATACTTTTTTGTCCACTCAAGCATTTTTTGTACAATTTTTGGTGTCAGTTTAGGCTTCTTAGCTGGACGTCATGAAATGTAACCAAGATTGTGTAGGCAATGTTGGACCGTTCTCTTCAACATTTTGACTCCAGATTGGCCCAGCTTATTATTTATTTTGTTGTTGGTGGCCCGTCTATTTTCTAGAACAATCTTGGTAAGTATTCATTTCCTGCAAGGTGTTAGGATTCTCTTCTTTCCACATTTACCAACCCTCTTTGGCATCAAGTTCTCCATATTAGCATTTTTTTGTGTATATTTTGTACAGATACCCGCGAAATACCATATTTTCTGGCTATTTTTCATTGAGAATGATCAGTATTTATTAAAAGTGCCCTGATTTCAGCAATTTTTTGTGACAAGTTTTTTTTTTCCCTCATAACTAAAATAAGATATCACATATCAGTATCACATAACAGTTAAGAATTTGCTTTGGTACTCATAACTTTAAAAATATCAAACTAAATACAACTATTTTTAATTTAAAATAAAAAGAAATATTCAAGAAATTTTTACTGATTTAAATGAGTAATATGACGATAACCTAATAAAAGAATTCAAAACTTTGGAAATAAAACTTAACAAGTGTACAGCAAAAAGATTATAATTAAGACGACATCATACAAAATGGGTGTCAAAAGTGACAGTGTTGCCAGTAGCAAAAAAAAAGCATTGATTTTATAAGTTAAAACTTTATTTTAAACAGAAGATTAACTTTCAATAATGAATTTTTACTCTTCAAATGAAAAAAATGAGATTAAATTTCAAAATGATTAAAACTCATAGGTGGCCATAATAAATTGTCACACAACTGTATATACAAAGTATAAATATTTTGCAAAAACACTTTTATTTGCAATAACTGCTTCATTGCATTGTGGCATGCTTGCAATTTATTTTTTATAGTTTCTGTCAACTCTGGGTTATTATGCTAGATCTTGATAATCTCTTCCATAAGATCTTGCTTATTAGTAAGATTTTTTTTTTCCAATCTCTTGCTTTACTATTTCCCAAATATCTTCTATGGGGTTAAGATCATGCGAGTTGTCTGGCTATAGCAATACATCAACTAAGCCAAAACAGTTTTTATTGTGTGGCAAGTTGCACCATCTTGCATAAATTTAAGATTTTTGACATTATTTTTAAATTTTTTTGTCAATTTTTGACATTTTTGGCTGGACATCAATCCCTCTTCTTTTAGCCTTCTACAAATAGTCTGGTCTGACACAAAAATTACAGCTTCATGGATAAGCTTAGTGGCTTTTTTTCTCTTTTCCAGGCAGATATTTCTGATTATACTGTCCGCTCTTGGTGTTTTCTTGCGTTTAGAAGGTGGTCTCCTTGGACCAAACTCTTCCCCTGTATGAATTCTTTTTCTTACTTGCATTACGGTTTGGTAAGAAACCTTTTGCGTTGGGTGAGAAACCTTTGGTAAGAAACCTTTGTGCTATTTTTTATTAAGAATAATTTGTATTTTGTAAAAGACATGTATATCAATTTTTGTTACTATGATATTAATAACAATGTATAATGTAGGTTATTGACCAATGGTTTATAATCAAATTTTAATATGGCTGACGGTAAAGGTAAAGAGAAATTTAAAGGAACAAACATTAGGTATTTACTTGTAAGTTAAGTGTAAAATTATATATTTTTGAAAAATCACTGTTCGTTTTTTTAATGCTATTTTACTTTTAACTTTTTGATGTATTTGATGAAAATTACTCAGACAATACCTTTTTTATAGAGAGAGTTTTGTCAATTAAAGTGACTGCTACAGTTGCCGAAATAAGCAAAGGAATAATGAATTTATTAAAATACGCACTCGACAGATCAAATGGTGGTGGTCGGCGCGTAAAAGGCGATTAACCCGATGTATAACATTCATACTTTTTCCTAGTTGTTCTGGAACTATTGATAATAGTTATTATTGATAAATTGATAAATATAATACTGATAATTAAAACTTTTTTTTTTTCAAACATTTTATTTTATTTGCATTGTATATAAAGTCTTGAAGCAATTTAGTTGTATCTGATTAATTTACGTGAAATATAATATCCTCTGCGCAAATTATTGCTTTTTTATTGTGTTAATTTATTGCAATTAAAGTTGAGAAAATTTTTTAGTTAATTGGATTTAACCAAAATAAAAAACAAAAATCAACGTTGAATTTACGTTGTTTCAACGTTGTTTTAACGTCTTATCAACTACGTATCAATCGAATATATCACCTATTCAAAGTTGAAATATGGTTGATATGTAGTCGATAAGACGTTAGATCAACGTTGAAACGACGTAATCATCGACGTTGTTTCAACGTCGTAGTTTTCGACGTCGGATTTTATTTCCAATTCAACCAAATTTCAACGTTGTTTCAACGTGGCATATGGTCGGTTTGCGACGTTGTTTCAACGTTATTTCAACGTCATTGTGCCGGCTGGGGAAGTTCCAATATAAATTTTTTAATTTTACAACTAGTTTTAACTTACAGTGGGATAACAAATGTCATGTGTCTAAAACAAAAAATTCTAAAATAACATAAACACACCAGTATTATCTTAGTTTATGATATTGGATGCCACATGTTTAATTTGAAAATTAATAAAAATTGCAATTTATAAAAGCATATTAACTAGCCATGTAAACTTAGCTGTAAATAATCTAAATAAATATACCTATCGAAGATGTTAACATTTTTAATTTTACAACTGATTTAAACTAATATGGTATGTTACTACATGTCTAAAATATAAAGTTAAACAAGACTATAAATAATCCATTTAGTCTATATTATAGAAATAATTGTTCAACTAACCCTTTACTACTAGTAAAGGATTAGTTGAACTTTTATTTCTATAATATAGACTATATGGATTGCATATATTTTTGCATAATTGGCGGACTTGTACACGACGCACCCCCTATGAAATATTAATAATCGTGACCAAAACAGTCCCAATTTTTACGTTTAAATAATAAATGTATATTTCGTTGTGTTAATCCCTATTTATTAGTCAAAGCATTTACATTTAATTCTATTCATCACTTATGATCAATTGAGGTAATTACACTTTAAATAATTTAATTAATTAATTTTACTTGGTCAGTAAAATAGCATTTTCGATAAAACGTGTTTTAAACTTAAGGGGGTGCGTCGTATACAAGTCCGCCGCATAATTTTCTAGATTTAGACATGTAGTAACTTACCATATATTATATGTATTAAGTTACCATATATGTTATTATATATTATTTAGTAATACTAATGGCTTTTAATTTAAAATAAAATAAACCTTATTGTTAAATTTTCTGTATAAAGCTTTATATAGAAAATTTAAAATAAGTTAAATAACCTTCGAAATAACATAGCGTAATTTAAATTATATTTATCCATTTGCTTTGTCTACTAAATGTAAAGCTTTTTAAAAAATGGCATATTACACTTACTGCAACCAACTTTTATCTACGATGTAAATGTAAATGTGAGAAAAACGCATTCAAAACTTTATCACTTTCAAAATAAAAAGATATAATATACTGAATTTTTTTTTTTGACCGATTAGAATATTAATCCGTTGAATTAACGAAATTTCAAAGAATCCGTAAATAGTTAATTTTACTCCGTTAATTTTCTGGTTTTTAGTAATTAATCCGTTAATTTAACAAAAAAGCGCAATCCGTTACTTTTTTTAACGGACTGTTTTTAGAGTGTAGCAAATAGTAAACAACCATCAAAACAACCACTATATGTACTGATCAAGGGCTGAACATCCATTTCGACACCTCTTCAACTCCTTACATCATATTCTGTTTTATAAAAGATAACGTATGGACCATATAGGCTTTGGCATAAGAATTCATGTAGTGAATCACACTAAAATTTTATAGATAAAAAATAATTATCACAATTATAAAATAAAAAAATTGTTATCAATACATTAAATGGAAAAAAGAAATGTGAACCATTGCAATACAAAATATGCTTACCATTAGTTAAAATGTCAGCAATATTACAAGCAAAAACAATTTTCTTTCCCCATGAAATTTGACAATAACAGCCTTTATTATTTTCAATTATTAACTATTGTAGAAATAAGTAAAGCAGTTATTATTAGTTTATACTACTTTAATTTTATAACTAGTATATTTAACATTTTTTAATACTTGCAATACAAAATTAAAAACAGTATTAATAAACAGACAGAGGTCAGACGGTAAGAGGTAAACACCATTATTACACAATTATTAAAAAATATTATTAAACAGCATTATTTGGCACAATTTAATTAGTTTAGTAATACTACACTAATTTATATTCAAAGATCAAATGTACTTTATTTTTTTGCTATGAAAAGATTGGAGAATTAAAATGCATTTATTAGAGCTTTCAGTATGCTAATTTGTTTTCAGAACATAGCTAATTCAAGTTTTTCCCATTCAACTATCATACTGTGCTTCAAAAATATTTTTTACTAAATTTTCCCCTAGTGATGCCCCTTAACTGTTGCCGTAACCGACATTCTTAAATTTTACTTATGTTTGAGTTTATCCAGTTTCTCTGCAGCCGTATTCACGTCTCTCCGTTAAATAAACGAAGAGTTCAAGTGACGGTTAAGAAAAAAATTGTTAACGGGCCGTTACGAAACGGATGGAGAAAAAAGGTATTCTTGTCCTTCCGTTAAGTCACCGTTTATTAACCGCTCCGTTAACTTTGTCAGTTAAATTTCTTCCGTTAGCCCGCTTCGTTAGCTAACTTTCGTGCTGTTTTTTACATAGCATCCAAATTTTACGATGCCAACTGGCACATAATATGGTCTAGAAGGTACATCACAGCGTGATTTTTTTAAATGTTTGATGCGTAATTTTTTAAACTTAATTTAAACAAGTTAAAGTAATAAGCCGTTTTAGGACTTGTACTAAGGACTAATAACCTTTTTAGACTTATACTAAGTACTAATTTTTTATATTTTTAAATTAAACTTTTTATATTTTTACAGTTAAAAAATATATAAACACCATCAAAAAAATTAAATTGGAGCTACATAAAGCTATGAAATGGAGTTACTCTATACAACTCTATCGCTCTATCACAAATTAACAACAAATACAAAATTAATAAACCATTTATTATTATAAAAAAAGAATTTGAAAATTAGTAAATTTATTTAGATAAAATATGTTCAAAAATGTCGCAAAGCAAAATCATCACGAAATTGGAAATTGTTTTCAGCTACTATATCTTCATTATCATTTTCATCATTTTCGATTGGATTTTCATCCATGTCTCCATCATTTAACTTTTAATTACATTTCAGAGGAGAAGTTAAGAGAGTTGCATTTCAGAGGAGAAGTTAAAACTTAAGGAAGAAGTTTTAAAGTTACAAGCTGAAAGAGATTATTTCATTTCTAAAAAAGAGTTAGTCGACTTGGAAAAAAGAAATGCATCTATAAAAGAAAAAATACTTTTATTAAAGGAAAGTTATTTAAAAAAAAAGAACGAAGAATGTTTAATTTTTAAGTGATTTAATTTCAATTTATTGTTGATTATTTTGTAATTATTTTTATATAATAATATGAACTTATGAAATAAATTTTTATTTAATTTTTCTTTTGCTTAAGAATAAATTTTATGTCCATTTGTCTCTAATTCGGATTCTTTCCCAATTTTTATGTTCTTAGAATACTGATAAACTAATTTTTCATTAAACTTGAAGATTAAAAAATTAAAACAAGTAATA